CTTACTTACTTACTTATATATATGTATATATATATATATATGGATATATATATATATATGTGTGTGTGCGTATGTGTGTATATATATACACACTCTTACATGTGTTTACTCACACTGATTTTCTCTCTTTCTGTTTCAGTCTCTCTCTCTCTCTCTTTATATTGCTCGCTCTCTCTGACGGTGCGATAGAGGCGAGGTACTAGCAGTGGGGACTTGCATGGGTCTTTTAGGGACCCCAGAGTCCTGGGGACACGTCAGGAGATCGGCCAGCTGTCAAGGACAATCATCGGTCCTGGTGGTGTCAGCAAAAGTGTGCGAGCATCTTGGGAAATAACAGATTTAAGCATTCCGGCCCCGGCTTGGCCCGTCATTTTCAGCTTGGTTTTTGGACCAACTGTACCTGTGCTATCCTGTGGTGGGCCTTCAGTTTGACATGGTGCCCGACGGACGTCAGTTTGGCTGCATAGAAGTGTAGTCGTAATCTGGGAGACAAGCGAGCAACGGATGTCTGGTATATTCCACAGATTAACCATGTTATTGAAACGTATAGTAAGTATGTGGACAGTATTGCATTGTACTATCAAGTGCTTCTAAGGCACTTACCAAGTCAGCATCTACGCCGGAACTGCGGACAGGTCTGACACTCGAATGGGCCTATGATGATGCGTGGGTTCACCAGGTTGTGTTTTCAGGGCTGGCGGGGAGCTTCAATGACTATGTTTCGGGAGGTTTTCAGAAATTTCGGCAGAGGAGCAATACCTATTATTCTGGACTTAGTCGGTTGGGCACACCCGGTCAAAGCTTGCAGTGTTCTGCGCGTGCATGATAGATTGGCGAGCGGCCAAGACATGGTGAGTAAAACGAGTACGACGTGCAGTCGCAACGGCAATCCCACATGCCTTTTTTGCGTAAAACCGGACTGCTGATACAAGTGTGGCCGGCGAACATGATCATCAACTGCAGAGTGCGTGTGATCTGCTGTCCGGACAATCGCCAAACCATAGTCTCGCACCGCGTTGGGGTCCTTTGGCAAAACCATCTCCTTCTCTTTACGGGTTGGGTCCATCCCAACCCATTCAAAGCTGAAGCCCTGTTCTGGCCCCCGGATGTTCGGCGGTGATTTCGGGGCGAGAGCTGGAATTTGAGCCGGCGTAGTCTGCGCTCGTCTGGTGGGCACGCGAGTGCATGTCATGTGGCTGCTCGCTTTCCTCGCTTCATGGAAAGACATGCACCATTTTGCATAAACACCTTGAACAGCTGATGCCTGAAGGTCCCCGCAGGCACCCACGTGTCCATGTGTCTGTCACGTGTTTTGCAAACATGTTTGCAGAAAGTCGTGAAGGCAAAGCTGCACTCGGGTCGTATACCGTCGGGTCGCGACGAGGGGTGCGCGGGGCGACACAGAAGCCTGCTGTGAAAAGGAAGGACATGACCCTCAATCCCTTTGAAGAGTCCGAATCCCTTCATCGCAGGTCCGCTGAAGGCCTCAGATGCAGCGCGACGGGCCCATGTGCCTGCAAAGAGGATGGTCTCTGCAGTTGTTGGATTGACTTCGAGGTTCAGGGCTGTAGTCAATCGAGTTCCAGGCCTTCGATTTTGGACTATCTCTGCATGGCCTGGTGGCATGGCACCGGGCTTTCGGACTTGTGCACGCAGCCCTGGAGGATACGGCCAAGCCTCAAAGCTATCATGACCCGAAGCTCATACTCCCAACCGAAGCTGAAGCTCTGCCTGCGCAGAAAGCACGTGGGGCTCGAAAGCATGAAATCTCCCTATTCTCAAGGTTATGCTTTTCGGAGCTCCTTTGCAGCTCGAAGGGTCCGCGACGGTTGCCGGCCCAGTGCATCGGACCACTTGTCAATCCCATCCCCTTGGGGGTCCGGTTTTGAGGTCGGCTCTCTTTGGAAGTTGGGCGAGCCATTGTTTGTTACGGTCTCATGCATCACACACTGTCACCATGTGTTTGGGGTGGTAGGGACATCGTCCTCTTCCGGTACCCGTTCTGCCTCCATGGTCCCTCTCAGCGCAGACGTCAGTTGTAAGTGGTTTTCCTTTCTGGTCGGACGTTACGTCTTTTCAATTCTGGTCGTCAGAGTTCGTGTCAACGACAGACCCGGCTCATGCAGATTCCCTGCTGCAGGCTAGCGTTTCCGATTCCGCCCAGATGAGTTTCTCCGAGCTGGGTGGAGGCTGGCCTTGTCTAAACCTAAGCCAGTGCTCGGTTGTACATAAACTGTGACATCCCTGCGAGCTGCTTCTCAAATCGCTGAGACTAAATGTATCATCCAGAGTGCTGAGTGCTCGACTTCACTCCTTTTTCCACAAGTCCAGGCGCTTACCCGCCTGGCACGACATGTGCTCGCCCGCCACAAGAGCTGCCACCAGAGGTGCCAGCTATGCAGGAAGTACCTCGTCGTCATGAATTGTGCAGCATCGCATTTCAAGCTTGGCCGTCCCTGCTTGACGTGATAGCATGAACTGAGCCTGCAGGCTTTGTTTATCGGTTTTCAGACGATCCGCGTGCCACGTCATGGAACTTGCGAATCGAGCCCTTGCTCTAGAATGCCGCGAGACAGCCTGAGACAGCCAGCTCGAGCACTGCAACTGAATCAAAAAACACATTCGCAGCCTTCGCAGCTGCACATCGGCAACGCCTTAACTGTATGGAATGGAACCAACCCTGGTGCCAGTACTATGCTGTGTCTGACTGGACAAATTCGGTGCTCCTTTATTTGTGCGCTGATTTTTGACGACCCGCAAGCCCGTTAGACAAGAAGTTTGGGTTTATGATGAGATTGAACGATAGGCTGAAGCCTTTAAGGACACCTTAGACTACATGAAGCCTGCGGAGGAAGCGCACCTTGGCATGTTCGCTTCAGAACTGGTTTTGGAGTTGTGCGATTCGTCGTAAGTATGCAGCAATTGTCTGCATTCGCACGGGTATTTCCAGCCGGCTGAGAGTTGGACAGACGCCTGCTTCAGCGTTGGTATCGTTGTGATGCCCATCGCTGTTTCCTGCTGGCACCCACACCGGAGAAGTCTGGCCCTGAGCTCACCGCATCTAGAACGCCAAGGCATTACAACTTCCGAAACCTCCCGCTGGAAATCTTCGACCATGCAGAGGACTTCGAAGTCAAGACTCCGCAGGAGTGGATGGCGGAGGCCTCCAGGTTTCTTAAGCCACAAAGGCGCCAAAAGAGGTGTGAGTGCAGGATTGTCCAGGTACCAGTTCGAGAACGATTTTCGGGAAGGGCTTTCAATCTGCATGGGCTCGAGTGTTTCCCTGGCACTGAGACCTACAATCCGCATACACATACCCGACACCTCTTTGTCAGGGGTGTCTTCTCGCAGGTCCAAAAGGACGACCGCAGACCACAGGCATGCGTTGTACACTACAAAGCACCCTGGTTCGCAAGGTAAGGGCATGGTGTGTCATGTTGCTTCAAGTCTTGACGTTGCCCGGGAAGCATGAAGAAGCATGAGGAGTGCAGGTTCTTTATGCTGTTCGGTCAGCGGTGGGTGTCCAAGGCCAAGAAATGGATCATGGCTCCATGCTGGGTCCTCCGCTATGAAGAGGCCATCAACAGCACCTTGGCAGCAGGAATTTTCTTGAGGAAGAGATCGGCCCGTGCTGGGACTTATTGGGAGTCTGTAGTCCGGATGCCTCGGGTTGTTCTGCCCAGGGTTACGCAGGTCATGTAGCTTGGAGACAAGACACAGCGCATGAATGTACAGCGGTGGGGGGCGCGCCGCACATTCTTTGGGGTTTAGGAAGGTGAATCACATCAAGGGGGGCACACTTGGTCACTTGGCAACACGGATGTGTAGAACAGAGGCCGAGCATAGCGTGAAAGGCCCTGATGAAACGAACGGACACAAGGTGTCATGCAACCCAAGCCCCAAGCCCGTCTAAGTCTTCTGAGCCGCTTACCGTAGCCGAGGATATATTGTGGAAATGGAGGATGCTTCTCAAAAGAAAGTGAAGCGCAACTTGGTTTGGAATCGCGGACGAAGCCTTTTGAAATACTCTAGTGCAGTTGACTGCTGTGCTTGACCTGAGTTGCAGCAATTCCCACATCTCCAGCTGGGTAGATTTCTGGTTCGAGCGTGTCAGCTGTCCTTCTTTGAAGGTTCCTGTGTTCTATGAATCCCAAAATACCCAGCACTGAGCACTGCGCTACCTGGTTCTGAGTGTCGAGAGGAGGTCGGGAGTGGCTTGCTGGAAGGTGCTGCATGTCTCGAGAAAGCTCTTACTTGACAAACCTGTGGAGTGACTAGTGACTTGTCGCACTGGCGAAAGTCCGAACTGTTTTTCAAGTCCGAAGGCTCCTTAGCGCCGTCGAGCAAACCTGATCCTTGAAACCGTGACATTGGGGTAGTTCTCTAAATTAGGGTCCCTAAGGGACACTAATTTAGAAAACTACCCATTGCCTGAGGCCTTTCTCTCCGTTTCAACGCCGAAGATCCGGCCAACTTTGAAAAGCGAGTAGAGACGTGCAGAGGGCGCAAGGTGGGCACCGATCTGCTCCGTGAGATAGTGCAGCAGACGAGTTTTGACCTAGAGCCGAATTTCTTGAGTTCAGCGTCTACAGTCTACAGATGACATCAGTCCCCCCGCAGTGTCAACAGGCTGCCATTAGGAATCCTTGCGATTTGCTTTTGAGTCCCATGGCCGCTTTGGCCTTACTGTAGCATCCCCTGGAGCCTCGGGGCTGAAGTCCAACATCTCCCCGCCGTAGAAGCCTCTCCAGCAGGCCTGGTGCGAACTCCAAGAGGCTTTTATAGACTACATCGAGCACAAGGACGTGCCGTCTCCGGAAGCTTATCAGGGCGAGGGCCAGGGCATCCAGGGCAGATGCTCATCGGGCTAATGCTGCGTCATTTAAGCAGGAAGACAGCGGAAAGACATTGCATCTTCAAGTCAGCTTCAAATCCGTCCCTGGTGCATGCTGCAGCTACGATATGCTAGCGCTGAGCTTTGAGGCTGTGCAAGTGCCTGACAGTTCCCTGGTCGGAGGATGACAAGCTCGTCACCCCATTTTCACGCTCGATGAAGGAATTCTTCATCAGATCTTGTGCCCTGCCTCATAGCTGACCTTCAAGTAGTGCACCCGTTCGTTAAAGGGCCACGTTTGCCACATCTTGAGCTTGGAGAAAGCTCTTTGCAGCAAATGGCTTGCAGGCCTCAGAGACGCTGCTGTACCCGTGTAACATAGCTGTGCGCGCTTCAATAGTCAGAGGTACTCAAGGTATCCGAAAGTAAGAACTGTCGGAAGGTCTTGAGAAGTGCAGCCTCGACGAGCCGAACAGCCATGCCAGCACCATCCGTGAGCTCATGGCAGAAGTCGATGCGAATCTAGGCTGGCACGGCCGGTACGCCCTGTTTCCAGCGTCTCAGTCCAGCCGTCGCTGGCGCCAGGGCTAGGGCGAGGGATAGGGTCTCCAGACGGGCCTTCACATCATGGCTGTCTTGAATAGGGTCTTGCATGTTGTGCAAGAAACGACCAGATTTGCAAGCTGGCAGTGGCTTGTCGGGCTCCGAAATGCGGGGATATCCCCATTTAGCCTTCAGCTTGCTTTCTTTGTTCATGTCAGTGCACGCCGGAAGATTCCACACTTGTCCTGGGCCCCTTGAACTGAGGAATTACATGCTCGCGATGAAGCTGTCGCTTGGCATGTGCTGAAAGACTCGCCCACTCTCCATTTTGTTGGATATCCCGTGATATTTCCATGGTTGGATCAGGCCAGACGTGGACCCAGCGCATTCATAGGGCTCTCCAAGCCTATTTTTTTGTCATTCTGTCGCAAGCCGAAGCGCTGCTGGTGCTCAGCACTGGCTGGCATGCACGAGCGAAATCTCGGACCTATGGTCCATTACTCTCCAAGCCTCATGAACAGAAGCGGATGGTCCAAGGTTCAACGTCAAGGTAGAGCTGATACCGCTCATGAGCACCAAGGACTTCATGGGGTCAGGGCTTACAACCTTCTGAAGTCTCTGAAATGACTTTTGGACGGAGTGCGAGTAAAGGATTGACAGGCGGGGTCGAAACGTCCGGGCTCTCAGTCCGGAGGGAGGATGTGGGGCCACCTTTGCAAGCAATGCCTTGCGAGTGAGTGCGGGGCTCATGGGACCACAGGCATAAGGTGGGCCATTGTCAGTTTTTGATGATCTGTTCTGCCTACAGTCTCAGTCACGGCCATCCGCAAGCGACTGCTGTATGGCAGGGAGCTGCGCGCACCAATCATCGCTTCGCTTTGTTCGGATGGTGCGCAGAGTTGACTCCTCCGGATGTGGAGTGAGCCCATGAGGAAGCTTACCTTCCTGACGAGTCGAACACCTTCTCTTTGAAGTTTGCGCCCGTGATGCAGAGTTTCCTGGCAGATATTCCTGGCTTCTCGCCGCCCCGAGGCCCTAAGCTCGCGAAGCTGTAAATCGCCGGACTCGCAGGTCTCCAGCCAAGTAACCGGGAGCCAAAGATACAGGTTGAACACTCCAGCCTGCACATTCCAGATCTCGCGACCTATGAAGGGATGGCTCTAATGACTCCTGGGCCCTAGGCCTAGGCCTTACACCTCGAAATGAACGTGCTCTCCAACGCTCGCAACCGACACTAGCCATGAAGTGTCGAATTGAGGCTTCCTGCCATCGCCATGTCCAGAATCTGGTCTTGTGGAACATGCGAGACCAGAGGCGAGACAAGCTCGAGTTCTGGGCTAAAGCCACCGGCATTCCGCACTTTCGATGGTTTCCGCCCCTTACATCAGCCATCCACTTCAACAGATGTTGTGAGACTAATCATCTGGGATTCGACAGTGCTTGGAGCATACTTGGCCACATCAAGACCGTGCAGGCAATTGTTGTTTGCAGGGTTGCAATTGATATAAGTCTATTATATTCTATTAACTTTCTGGACGACGACTTGCGACCGGCCTGACAGCAACAGCTGTGCAAGCCAGCCGTACATTTCTCAACGTTTCGGTCATCTGTACACAAACCGAAGTGAAAGCTCAGCCCGTGCCAGAGCCAATCCTAACAATCCCCCCCCGTCAACTGGACTTCAGATGCGCGTCCAGCAGCTCGTGGCAGAGATGCGGCAGATGCCTCTCCTGGGCAGCAGCATCTTTGCCATCACCTGCCAGGTTGGAGCTTTCTTCTGTCCAAGCAAGAGTTCTGTTCACCCCTCAAGCGACTGGAAGACTCAGAGCGGGACATGCGTGTGTTGTACGCGCACATCGTGCAGCATGAAGTTCAGGCCCTTCAGGCCTCCAGGCTTGAGGTACGGCACTCTGATGCTGTCGGCGAGGTGTGGCGCCGATACATCAACGAGGTTGCTAGCCTCTCTGCTGCATTGGAAATTTGACATCGAATCCTGATCTCGCACTGCTAGACTTTGGGCATCGTGTCATCCCCGAGACGAACATGGTCTCAGTCGTCAAGTCATCAAGCAGGATGTATAGCAGGCCTAGCACATCGGCCAAACAAGAACCCAAGCCCCTGCCGTGACATCGAGGAATGGAGCTGGTAGACACCACACGCGTAGGGGGCGTGGATGTGACCCGACAAAGAAAGCTCATCAAGAAAGCCGATTCGATCATCTTCGAGCCGCAGGACAGCCTGACTTAGGCCCCTTAGGCCACCTGCTGATTGCTGTGGAGCCTTTCTGTCTTGAGAGTGCAATGAGTGCTTATCGGCCCTTTAGCTGTGCGTGAAGACTGCTACTTGACTGCTAGACACGTCTTGTCCCGGCAAGGCAAGCCCAAATCCTCAAGCCGCAAGCCTCGCTGGAAGCCATGTTTCAGCAGCGCCTTTCATCAGCTCGAATGTCGAATCCCACAAGGCAACATCCCAGACAACGCCAACCTGTTGTACAACAGCTTCCCCATCACCTTCGTGAGTGTCCAAGATAGACACCTTTAATCTGTGAGGGGGTGCTGTTGTTATCAATGGCAGCCAACAGTATCCAGAATCCCCTCCGCACTCTTTTTACATCCTTGAATCCTAAGCCCTTTTTTCTTTTAGGTCTTAGGCGATGTCATTTCTCGAGAATCGAAGCAGAGCTGGTGATTGAGGGTCAGCCCCGCAGTCAAGCGCAGGACATGTTCGAGCACCAGAAGAGCCACATTGAAAGAATAACGAACCACCTGAAGCGAGGGTGGCGCGACTACATCATTGCAGAGGCACCGTGAACTGGCATGAGCCACACGAGCCCTTGACAGAAGCCAGATAGCAGCACGCCCCAAAGCTGCAAAGTTCTCTCCGTATTCTTGGCATTCTTGAACTTTCCAAACAAGCCCATGTATGCAGAATGCCAACTATGTTTGGCGCTTTGCCTGACGGACACTTGGCAAACAGAAAATGGGAGAACAGCTGCTCGCAGGTCTTGGATAAGCTGTCCGACGACTACAATTTCTTTAGCGATGATACAGAGAAGCACATGCAGAGCCCTTTGCAGCCTGTCGGCGGGGCGGAGTCCGTGGTCAGGCTCGTGCTGTAGGATTTCAAAAATCGCCGTTCGGGGTATGGCTGGCTTGTGTGACTCGCGCTGGCTTTGTGTTGAAGCGAATGACCTGCAGTGCAGGCGTTGTGGTATGTGTGGGTGTGGGAGGATGCATGTCCCGATGAGCAGCCAAGGCATGCATTGCTCCGAAAATTAGATGCTTGGCTGAGCCAATGGTTTCATTGACAAAGTCGTTGTGCCCGCTTGAGGTCTTCGAAAAGACTGCCTCTGCACTCTTCCAAACACTTCACGGCTTGCTTCAACCTTCTCTCATCATGTCATAATGTGTCACGGCTGATGGTATTCTTCGGGTCCCTGGAGGCTTGGTAGGTTTCCTGCAGAAGTCCGGAGTTCAGAAGCTTCTTCTTTCATAGCCACGCCATGTTGCGGCAACAGTCAGCACTTGCTTGTACAATCCTGCGTGGAGTGAGTGTGTGTGTGTGTCTACTTGTGCGTGTGTGTGTGTGTGTGTGCGTGTGTGTGTGTGTGTGGGTGTGTGTGTGTGTGTCGATCTGCGCGCGCGCGCGGGTGTGTGTGTGTGTGCGCGTGCGTGTGTGGGCATGTGTGTATATATGTATCATACAGTATACATCTGTACTGCATCTGTACGGGGGGTCGGAGAAAGATGGAAGGATCTCATCATCAACTCGCAGCTTCGCTGGCCGCGTGCCTACAGTGGGTGCCGGGGAAACCCAACATGAGGGCTGCGATCTTGACAGAGTGCACGTAAGAGTTCTATCAGGTAGTGATCATGCGGGCGCATTCGATGTTGCACGTGGTTGCTGCAGAGCTGCGCCGCCAATCATGCTTTGCAGACACAACATCCTGTGATGGACAGACATGTTGAGTCGGCGGTGTGCAGCAAGTTTAGTCGGACTCAGGGCTACGCGTAGGTACGAGCTCATGTGCCGGTGTCTGTCGTCCTGAATGCCCTTATTACATGATCCAAGCCTTCAGAGTTGGGCTTCCAGGATTTGACCCCGCAGTTTGAGCTTTGGTTGGAAGAGTCCTTGTGGTGTGTCGAAGCGAAGGTTTTTCTGCGGGTGACCCAAGCTGCCCACAGCCCAAGTAGCCAAGTGGACACACGGCTTCTGTGCGGCCCAGGTTTGTCCAGAATTCAATGGAGAGTTGGTGCAACTTTCTGCCTTTCGGCACGTTTCAGTTGCCGATCCTAAGCCTTCTAAGCTTAGTGTATACTACGCAGTTTTTAAGTCTCTTGGCCTTGCTGTGCAGCAACTTCAAAGGAGAGTCAAAAGGCCTCGGGGCCTTGTACCGGCCTCAAGACAAGAGCCTGCGACTCCTTCGATCTGCCCTTCTCAAATCCTGCGAAGTATTTGCCTGTAGGCCAAAAGGGGCCTAGGTGCCAAGCCTGGGCTCTTCCGCATTTTGGGCTTGGGGATGGGGATGTGGGGGTTGTTCAAGCTCTCTAACGTCCTTCGAGGCACCAGCTCGACCCTAACCCGGAGCTTCCTCCCCCTCGGGGCTTTGGGTGCGCAAGTTATGCGGCAAGAGTTGAGAAAAGCCAGCCGAGCTGAAAGAGCCCCCAAAATCAACCGCTTTCGACTCATCCCACCTGTTGAAAGAGCATGGGGGCTCGGGTAGCAACCCCTCTTCTGCGACGACGGTCGCAAGGAACAGCTTCGTACCGGATCCAAAGACGAAGCGGCCCATGCCGTTGATCTACCTTGACATCGAGGTGGCTCGTTTAAGGGGTTTGAGAGCCCATTTTTAAGTCGTGAGTTTTGCAGGCAGTCTTCATAGCATGTGTAGGGTTCGGGTGTCTTCGGGAATCGGAGGCTTTGGGACACAGGGGCTATCTCAGCGGTTTCGGACTGCAGTGGTAGAGTTCCTGTTTGATGTCATGTTCCGCTGTCGAGTCTAGGGCACTTGCGTGATGCTCAAGCTGTTGCACCAGTGAGGCTGACAACGACGAAATCTACCTCGAGCCAGAACCACAGGAAGCAGCGTGGGCATTACCGCCAGCATGCTGGGCGTGTGCATGACGCATGTGACCGGGTTTCCTTTGGTAGTCTAGTCTAGTCCTCGGTATGGCTGCTCGTGGCCCCACGATGTGTGCAGAACGCCCAAGCTATCATACGCGCTGTGCAGCACCAGGTTTGAGGAGTGATGTGCAAGTCGGCAGGACTTCCTCAACGAATTCGAGAGCATGCTCCGAGATGCCACTAAGAGTGTTAGCATCGCCAGGGGCTCGGAGCTGGCGCTGTAAGGGCAGCCCTAGTTTTTTGCCAGGCCCTGCCAGGCATGAATTTTTTGAGCTCGATGGTGGCCCAGGTGAAAACCATGGAAGCCGAGCTCATGCCCTTCACGAATGCCAAGCCCTGAAACTTTGTGCTTAAGGTTTCGCAGAGGGAGATCAGCTCACGACAACCTGTTTCTGCCAGAAGTTGGCAATGGTAATTTGAGGTGACGTACCTGTGACAGGTAAGGGCTTCGGGGAGCTTCGTTCAGGTCTGTGTTTTGGAGTCGAGAGTGGGCGGCATACCAGAGACTTGCCCCTCGATCTCGTGGTGCCAAAACGGTGAGCATAGCTCGGGAACATTGGCATGAGGATCATTGTCACAGGTAAGCCTGGGTCAACTCGCCACCCCTACACTGTCTTTACTTGCATCCAGGCGTCTGCAGAACACAAGACTTGTGCAACGCCAAGCGAATGCCACGGCAATGCGACACTTTAGGCACCAAGACCTCGCAACCGAGTTTAGGAGGCCTGAATGTGAGAAGTTAGCCTAGTTAGACACGGTCGACCCTTGAAGCAATCCGAGATTGAAGAGAAAGTCTTGTACACCCCGGAGTGCAGCTGGGCCCTCAGACAAGGGACACAGGACTTGGGAGCTATCGGCTGTTTGGGATTCGTCTTCGGGCCATCCGTAGCCCCCGGGACAATCTGCAAGCCATTGCATGGTGCCAAGCACATGCTGGTTGGGATGGCCGTGCGAGCTTCCAGCGAGCGTGATTGATTTCGAGATGCTTGCGGCTGTCGAAGAACTCACTGTTGCGAATTGCGTCCATCTGAGCCGTCGTTTGCACATGCACATGTACACGACATGAGATCAAGCCATGCAACTGCGTGAGAGTGGGCATAGTGAACTGCATTCTGGTGGAGCAGAGACAGCAGAATTCACGCGCATAAGGCCCTGATGGCGACGATGTCGAGTACCAACCGCCGGGACGTCAGACCTCGTTTGCTCCTGGTGGCGGCATACTTCCGGCACATGTTGGCACCCACTGTAGCATTTCGGCTCGTGGGCTTCGGTATGAACGGGAGTGCACCATGTATAACATGGGCAAGTGTATAGCCGAGGCGCTGTAAGTGCCTGCTGCACCAGGAACAAGGCAAGACCTTTGAAACGTTGCACAGGCGAAGCTTCGCTTGCCACCAGCTATACTTTTCCTGATTGTTTCTTCTGTGCTGATTTTGCTGGATGTATGCAGGCCCGCAGCCCTTGTTTAGCACCAAAAAAAGGGCTACGCCAGACTGCTATGAAAGCGCTGCTTGCTACAAGATGCGCGGACAGACGGTAGCGTGTGAGGCGGGCCCGGCACCCTTGTATCCGAAGCTGCGCTTAGTACTCCTTGCCGATGTAAAGTTCATGCCAATGGTACGCCTGCAGTCCGGAGTCCGAACACTGCACACCTAACACAAGGGCCATGTCCCAGAGACGAGAAGGCAAACCACAGTTTTGTCTGGAAGTCTTCTTGTGGAGCTGTGTGGTGTTAACCCCCCGTCCAACAAATCTGTGGCATGCTGTCCGAAACATGGGTTATCAACGCTGCAAGGGCAGAGCTTGCCGTTTTTTTCCGTCAGAGTTGCCTCTAAGTCTATGAATCCATGAAGCCCTGCCAAATCATGCCAAATCCGTGTCTCGCGCCAGGTGGCCTGGCATGGCCACGGGCGTTGACTTCCGCAGCAACTTCCAGAAGCGCTTCGTGTCTGGGCGAGTAAGGCCAACTGGGGTCGGGGCAACAACACCCGTGATATTAACGAGAATCTTGACATGAAGTCTAAGACTTGAACCCTGCTAGAGAAATCCCAGGCTGCTCTTCAGGAGAAGCTTGCGCAGGCCAGCGAGCGCAGCGAGCGCTCCGTGGGTGCCAAGGTGCTCGGAATATAAGTTCGGGCCTAGGGTTACTATGAGGGATATCGGATAGCTCATGGTAGCTCAATACTAGAGCATGGCAATCCTCATACTTGCCCGTCTTGTGTGCGGGAGGATGTGCAACGATAAACGCAAGCGGGATTGCTGGTTTGCTGGCGAGGCCTCCACCAGTTCTGATCCAAAACTCACCCGAACGGGCTGAACCGTGGCATCGGCAGGTAGAAGATGCCC